GGCCTATTTTGCATGGGTTCATCCGATTCAATTTCCCTATAAAATAAAAGGTTTGTGTAACTTTTTCCTTTAATAAAAGACGCTATTATTATATCCTTCACCATGGGTAGGAGGGTATATTAACTTTGTCATTCCGTTTGTAACACCTCTAAATATTCGTAGTTGACCCCATAAAATATATATATTCATAATCAGCATAACATTCTAAGACGATTTAGCGATGTCCGTCTGTCTGTCTGAGCTCACGATAGAGCCCACATTATTTGACGCAGAGCTTTGAAATTTGGCACAAGTGTGTGTATTGTTCCTAGGATGGTGGAACATGTTTGAATCCAGATACTTTTGTATAAAAATGGTTCCTTAGGTAGTGTTGGAGGGTATATTAAGTTCGGCCCGGTCGAACTTAATGTTTTTGTACTTGCAAGCCACACAACTGGTAGTAGTACCCATTATAAAGTCAAAAATAGGAAATTTGAAACAATTCCGGGTAAATTAATGTCTCTAAAATATTGTGAGGAACCGTTATAGGGGAGCTATACAAAGACGTGGACCGATACAGCCCATTTACGAATTTAACCTAAATCGAATTAGAATTTAACGCTGATATATACTTTGTAGGGTCTAAAATTAGTATTTCGAGGAATTGAAATCACACTTGAACGCAAGAAGTCTTTCTGCGAACAACTTTAACACCCATTATAAAGTCAAAAATAGGAAATTTGAAACAATTCCGGGTAAATTAATGTCTCTAAAATCATCAAAATACCGAATATTGTGAGGAACCGTTATAGGGGAGCTATACAAAGACGTGGACCGATACAGCCCATTTACGAATTTAACCTAAATCGAATTAGAATTTAACGCTGATATATACTTTGTAGGGTCTAAAATTAGTATTTCGAGGAATTGAAATCACACTTGAACGCAAGAAGTCTTTCTGCGAACAACTTTAACACCACAATATATATATATAAATACGCAAAATAATATATACAATTCCTTACATTATTTGCCAATATATATTTTCTGTTTTCTCCTCCTCAGGTTTTGGGATATTCGGCAATTCCATGTGTCTCCTTTCTTCAAAAAAATTCTCCTCGGGATTTGGTGAATGCGGAAATTCAGCTTCCTTTTTTTCTTCCAAAACACCAAATGGATACAGAGGAACTGTCAATTGAAGGAAATGGTAATATTTGTGTTATATTAAATTGTACAATTTCCTTACACCGGGTATATTCGACATAAGTTTGCCGACAAATATACAACAAACACAAGTAAGCAAAGGCTATAGTCGTGCGGGGCCGACTATGTGATACCCTACAACACTGCAAGATGGTAGAAGTACCCTTATGTCCAAATATATTTTGGAAGATTTCGCTTTTTAAATTATGTCATAAAGCACTGCCCAGATATTACCCTTAGCTTTTTCACTAGACACATTTGCCAAGTGTTTACGAACTCCGTCGTGCTGTTAGTTACAGCTAAATATAATCCAAATGCTAGACGTCTTCCCTGTCCTTAACACTTTTCTCATGCCAAATTCCGTGCCGATTGATTTCAATTGTGTGATCAGGAAAATGTGTCTGTTTTTGGTTCATTTTAACCCATAAATATTTTGAGTATCGGGCCATAATTGCGGCCTGTTGCGTGATTACAAATTAACATGTACGGACGGACATACGTAGCTAGATCGACTCAGCTCGGCGAGATAGGAAGATCCATACATACTTCCCTATGCGGGGAACCAATATTTCGAGGTGTTACATAATTTTTGGCCCAATCAAACTTATAATACCCCCGACACAGTGTTGTTGTTGTTATTCTTATACTTACTTGGCTTGGTGTATTTTTTAAATTTTTTGGCACCTATGCACGAACTTTCAAAATGTCTTTGGCAAAGGCGTGGCCATGGTCCAATTTTTTCGGATTTCAGCCCCAAAATTCGACACCATTCCTCTTTTTCCGTGGAATCTGTCGGAAATCCAAAGGTTTTCACAATTTTTTCACACGCGAATATGCACCGCTTAGACATTTTTTAAATATTTTAATTTCACACAAATTATATTGAAACTATTTTCACAAATGAATCATTAAAAAATGCACAATAATTTTTTCACAAAAATTTATGTACACATGACAAGGAAAGTATATGCCTACTTTATCATAAACAAATCCAGTAAGGAAAGGTCAAAATTCGGGCGGGCCGACTATATGATACCCTACACCACTAACCATAGTTAGCAGAGCTTTGTAAAAAATGTTTATATTGTTCATTTCTGAGATTTATAAGATACCTGATAACAAATATCATTATCTCTGTCATATGGCTAGAGAGGGTATATATTTGATACTGTCAAAACGTGGACGATGGGTCCTAGCCAAGTGTGAAGTAATGGGAAGCCACATAAAAAAATATAAAAAATAAATTTAATTTATTTTATTTAAATTTTCAATTATTTTTTAATTTTTCAGATCAATCTGGTAAGATTCGCATTTGGAACACCGTCAAAAAGGAACAAATTTTGAAAAATGAATTCCAAACCATTGGGGGTTTCATCAAGGATATTGCCTGGTTGGCCGACAATTAGCGCATTGTGGTTGTCGGTGAGGGCCGTGAACGTTTTGGCCATGAATTTATGACTGAAACGGGTACATCGGTGGGTGAAATTAGTGGCCAATCCAAACCCATTAATTCATGTGATTTCCGTCCTGCCAGGCCATTCCGTATTGTCACAGGTATAACCATAGATTTTCATTAAAATCGGAATTGAGAGTAACTTCCCCAATTAATTTTGCAGGCAGTGAAGACAACACCATTGGTGTCTTTGAGGGTCCACCCTTCAAGTTCAAGATGACCAAGCAAGAACAACACGTAGCCATTGCATGTCATTAAGGATCACAATAAACCCATTACTGTGTTGGGTTTGAGTGATGATCGCAGCACCATCTACACCGGCAGTCATGATGGTGTGGTAACCACCTGGATTTCGGGCAGTGGTATCAAAGATCGTGTAACTGGGGCTGGTCATGGTAATCAGTTGGGTCATATCTCAATTTAATGTCTTTGAAGAAACCCACTAAATTTCCCTTATCTTTGTTAACAGATGAATAGTATTGCTGCCTGGGATGATTTTGTTTACACCTGTGGCATTGGTGACAGTCTGCGTCAATCGAATCGAATGCATTCACCGATTATCACCTTGGTCCAGGATCAAAAGAAGGCCTTCTCCTTGGCAAAAAAGCAGAACAATAACAAGCCCAAACCATGAATGCAATTATCGTTCTGTTAAGTTTCATTACTTCTTTATAAATATGCATTTTTTTACTTTACTTTACTCCCCTATTTGTTGGTTCTCCTTATTTCTTTCGCTTGCATTAAGTTAAAAAAAGTTATTTCAAATTGTGTTTCTAATTATTTATTTATGCAATTTAAAACCCAAATCAATTATGTTTTCCCCCTCTTTTTTCCATCGTTTGTATCACATGAATGTTTTATAAGAGAAATACAAAGCAAATTCCTTTTCATATGAAAATGTTCTAAAAAATGGATTGTTTATCATCGTCATATATTTAGGGGTTGAAATGGACTAAATACTGGAAAATATCTTATTTTGCGGTGGTTGTACAAGTCGCAATTATAGACCAATCGACATGAAATTGTGTTAAAAAAAACAATGTGTTTATAAAACCGCGAATATTTTTAATCCCGGCGAAAGTCAATTCTGACCATTGCGTAGATGCCGATTGTAAAGATATCGGATATATAGCGAAATATGTAGAATCAATAAATAAAATGGAAATGGATGTTAGTTTGAGCGCTTATATGTCAAGAATGGCTGGACTGATTTTGACAAATCTTGTCAATTCAGAATGCGCTTTTGGCATACAGTGTAGGTCATATAGTGTAGGGATATTATTTTGAATTTTTTATCACTATTAATGCGAAGTGATAAACTAAATAAACAATGGAACTAAATTTGGTATATAGAGTAGGAATAAAATTGTTAGTTTCGGTGTTAAATCGGTGTGAAAAGTTCAAAATGTACTCATATTCTACAAATGAAGAAAAACACAATGCTGCATTTTTCAAGCTTAAAAAATCTTACATAAATTCATTTGATATTTGTAGTATTACAAGAATATAATATGGTCATTAATGTTAAAAATTATTTTTTATTGAATAATTTAACATTATTTGAAAGGCAGTAATTTGATTTACGGGTTATATACAATCATCAATATCTCGGCATAACTATAATATTATTTTGAAGAACAGACGAAATAAAAAAGTACATTTATATGTTAGTATGCTTGAAAATGAAATAATTAAGCAATTCGTGCTTTTTAATATTAAACAAATAATAACAAAATAATATTGATTGAGAATATGACAGAATAAAACTTAAACAATTCGTGATAAACATATTAAAAAACTAATAACATAATAATATTCATTGAGAAAATGAAAAATAGTATAAATTAAACAATTTTTGCTTTTTTAAAGTATTTTAAACAAATAATAACAAAATAATATTAATTGAGAAAATGACAGAATAAAACTTAAACAATTCGTGATAAACATATTAAAAAACTAATAACATAATAATATTCATTGAGAAAATGAAAAATAGTATAAATTAAACAATTTTTGCTTTTTTAAAGTATTTTAAACAAATAATAAAATAATGATATTAATTGAGAAAATGACAGAATAAAACTTAAACTTAAACGTGCTATTTAAAGATATAAAACAAATAATAAAATAATATTCATTTAAAAATGACAAATACTATAAATTAAACAATTCGTGCTATTTAAACATATAAAACAAATTATAACAAAATAATATTCATTGAGTAATTGAATAAGTGGGTAGTCGAACTCGAAAGGAAAAGAAAATAAAAGCAGAAAAGAGGTTCTATATTAACAGAGAAGACAATATCCGAGATACATCAGAAATAAGTCATAGCTGTAGGGCACGTAGCACAAACTGTTGTACACTACGTATACTTAAAGAATAAAAAAAGTAGCGAATTAAAAAAAGTTTATTAAAAAAGAACGTTGTTAATAAAAAAAATTGTTAATAAAAAAAAATTGTTAATAAACAAATTGTTGCTGTTTATTTAAAAAAAAAAAAATAATAAAAATAACTGTTTAAATGAAAAGAAAAAAGTGAAATTATGTTATTTGTATTGAAATTTAAATTCATAAGAGCCTTCTTATTTGAAATTTAAACGCAGCATACTTTTAAAGTATATCCAGACTTGATCCGTTTTAAAGTTATAATGTTTTAAATTCAAACCATATATTAAAAAAAAAAAAAAAATAGGCTTATTAATTTAATTTCCTATACATATAACATTTATGTGTGTATAGAGTATTAATAATGCAAAACGATTCTGTGTTGGTAAGCTATAAACCTAATTGGCATGAAAAAAAGTTACGACGCTAAAAAAAATACCGGATCTATAAATTTACAGTTCGAATGTTTAATTTCTTCAACTTTTTCTTATTCTTTTTTGCTTTTAATAATATTTCACTCAACCACTTAGAATTTTTATAAATTAAAGTGTTTAGGGTAAAGTCCAAACATTCTAACCTATGTTTGAAACAAACATCATTTGCATCAAACCAATTGAACTTTTCATTTGTTTTTTCTATTATGTAGTCCGATATTTTTTTCTTTATATTTTGTCTTGATGCAAATTTGTTCAAAGCTACTTTGTAACATTTCATCTGAAAACTGAAAATTTCGAAAAAGTTGTCTGATGGATTAATTAAATTTAAGGAATTAACACCGAAATTTTTATTTTTTATTAGCAATTCCGATTCCGAAGACAATTTGTCGTCCTTTTTCATTTGGTCCACACAACGACAGCATTTTGTCTTTTGGACTGCACTCTTGTAGATTGTGTACCCTGAAACATACCTTTTAACTTGTGTTTCACACAAGTTTATGTCCTCAAGGAACTCTGAATCATCTTCGGAGTCGGAATTAGAGTGTTCCAATTTTAAATATTCAATAATATGAATGTTACCGGTATTTTTCAGTGATATTGGAAGTGAAATACTACCATCTTCTTCAGAATTGGTATTTTTAGTTGCTTTTAAAATATCGGAAGAGATTATTTTGGCGCTTATGTACCTCACTTCCTTTACTGATGGGTGTGTATTATTGCCTAGCGAAGACCGTATCCGGGAAAAGAAATTTTCCAAAGCATCCTGGTTTAATTTACCAGACAATATAAATTGGATGTTTGGGTAATCCCTAAATATGTCTTCGGAGAGCAATAATATACACTGTATTGTTTGCCAAAACCCATCAATACATTGTACAGTTGCTTTGCTGTTAACAACAAAGCTTCCAAAATAATCTCTGGCCTCTTCGAGCCGGGCAATTTTGTGTTTGCAGTTTCGATATATCGCTTTATTGTTGGGGTTTGCGGACGATGTCGTTTTAACATTTAATTCGTCGAATATATCGTTTAGCCTTTTTATAAATTCAGCTGTCGGATATGCATCGTCTGAAATACAACCGTTTTGCATACAGGTATGCATTGCGGCAGCTACAGAATTGCTTAAAACTTCAGTAGCTCTACTGACACTCATTTTATCCCACAGTGCTGGATTTATGTGTTTTTCCGTCAATTTGGGACACATCTTGATGTTAGGGTTCTCATTATCAATTTCATATATTCTACGAACATATTCGAAATTGATAACTTCGCCGCTAATCGTTTTGTAGCCATGTGTAATCAAATTATTTCTGATTGATTTTATCAAATTGCAATAGTCGTACATACAATAAATTTTGTGTCCATTAAAAAAAAAATATGGTTCGTATTTCGACGTCGTTAAGAAACTGTAAAGACCGATGTTTGTAGCCCCTTGGTCACAAACAATGGAACGCACGTCTAAGCCAATGTCCTGGATAACCTGCAGGTTCTCACACAGGACATTGTGCATTACGGCTTTTGTCGTATTTTTAGAAACAGGATAAAAGCTTATAATAAATTTCCAGTCGGAACATATGCCCTTGATCATAAAAAAAAGACATCTCCTAGCCATCTCTTTGGACCTTCTGTTCTTGCCAAAATCTTCAAACCCGTCCACAACGTCTTCTGCCTTGTTGTATTCTAGGACGGGCTTAATTTCCACCTCATCGTGAACGACGAAACAAATGCGTTCTCTTTCCGACATGTTTTGCACTTGTGCTTTCAAGCTGTTAACAACTGCAATATCTATACCAGGATTTAGAGAACGTATATGTTGCCATCGTCCTAGAGACCTAGGGCTGGGCAAATTAAATTTTATATTTTCCCTCATAAATTTGTAGCACCTCGCACCTCTAAAATATATATTTTGAGCAATATCTCTTTCTTTTTTAGTGTAAACTTTTCGTTCGTCCGTACCCATGCGAGCTAAAGTTAGTGCCTCTTCTGATGTATTCACGGAGGGAACAATGCACTTCCTTGTGAAATTGTCCAACTCAGTTTTGAGTTTTGCAACTTCACAAGTTAGCGCATTTCGTTCTTTTGTCAGTGCCTCGATTTTTTGCTTTAGTTCGTCATTTTCTGCTCTTAGTTCCTTTTCGTTTTGAATCAATTTTAAATTTTCTTTTTTCAGAATTTCCATTGGCCTATTTTGCATGGGTTCATCCGATTCAATTTCCCTATAAAATAAAAGGTTTGTGTAACTTTTTCCTTTAATAAAAGACGCTATTATTATATCCTTCACCATGGGTAGGAGGGTATATTAACTTTGTCATTCCGTTTGTAACACCTCTAAATATTCGTAGTTGACCCCATAAAATATATATATTCATAATCAGCATAACATTCTAAGACGATTTAGCGATGTCCGTCTGTCTGTCTGAGCTCACGATAGAGCCCACATTATTTGACGCAGAGCTTTGAAATTTGGCACAAGTGTGTGTATTGTTCCTAGGATGGTGGAACATGTTTGAATCCAGATACTTTTGTATAAAAATGGTTCCTTAGGTAGTGTTGGAGGGTATATTAAGTTCGGCCCGGTCGAACTTAATGTTTTTGTACTTGCAAGCCACACAACTGGTAGTAGTACCCATTATAAAGTCAAAAATAGGAAATTTGAAACTATTCCGGGTAAATTAATGTCTCTAAAATCATCAAAATACCGAATATTGTGAGGAACCGTTATAGGGGAGCTATACAAAGACGTGGACCGATACAGCCCATTTACGAATTTAACCTAAATCGAATTAGAATTTAACGCTGATATATACTTTGTAGGGTCTAAAATTAGTATTTCGAGGAATTGAAATCACACTTGAACGCAAGAAGTCTTTCTGCGAACAACTTTAACACCACAATATATATATATAAATACGCAAAATAATATATACAATTCCTTACATTATTTGCCAATATATATTTTCTGTTTTCTCCTCCTCAGGTTTTGGGATATTCGGCAATTCCATGTGTCTCCTTTCTTCAAAAAAATTCTCCTCGGGATTTGGTGAATGCGGAAATTCAGCTTCCTTTTTTTCTTCCAAAACACCAAATGGATACAGAGGAACTGTCAATTGAAGGAAATGGTAATATTTGTGTTATATTAAATTGTACAATTTCCTTACACCGGGTATATTCGACATAAGTTTGCCGACAAATATACAACAAACACAAGTAAGCAAAGGCTATAGTCGTGCGGGGCCGACTATGTGATACCCTACAACACTGCAAGATGGTAGAAGTACCCTTATGTCCAAATATATTTTGGAAGATTTCGCTTTTTAAATTATGTCATAAAGCACTGCCCAGATATTACCCTTAGCTTTTTCACTAGACACATTTGCCAAGTGTTTACGAACTCCGTCGTGCTGTTAGTTACAGCTAAATATAATCCAAATGCTAGACGTCTTCCCTGTCCTTAACACTTTTCTCATGCCAAATTCCGTGCCGATTGATTTCAATTGTGTGATCAGGAAAATGTGTCTGTTTTTGGTTCATTTTAACCCATAAATATTTTGAGTATCGGGCCATAATTGCGGCCTGTTGCGTGATTACAAATTAACATGTACGGACGGACATACGTAGCTAGATCGACTCAGCTCGGCGAGATAGGAAGATCCATACATACTTCCCTATGCGGGGAACCAATATTTCGAGGTGTTACATAATTTTTGGCCCAATCAAACTTATAATACCCCCGACACAGTGTTGTTGTTGTTATTCTTATACTTACTTGGCTTGGTGTATTTTTTAAATTTTTTGGCACCTATGCACGAACTTTCAAAATGTCTTTGGCAAAGGCGTGGCCATGGTCCAATTTTTTCGGATTTCAGCCCCAAAATTCGACACCATTCCTCTTTTTCCGTGGAATCTGTCGGAAATCCAAAGGTTTTCACAATTTTTTCACACGCGAATATGCACCGCTTAGACATTTTTTAAATATTTTAATTTCACACAAATTATATTGAAACTATTTTCACAAATGAATCATTAAAAAATGCACAATAATTTTTTCACAAAAATTTATGTACACATGACAAAGAAAGTATATGCCTACTTTATCATAAACAAATCCAGTAAGGAAAGGTCAAAATTCGGGCGGGCCGACTATATGATACCCTACACCACTAACCATAGTTAGCAGAGCTTTGTAAAAAATGTTTATATTGTTCATTTCTGAGATTTATAAGATACCTGATAACAAATATCATTATCTCTGTCATATGGCTAGAGAGGGTATATATTTGATACTGTCAAAACGTGGACAATGGGTCCTAGCCAAGTGTGAAGTAATGGGAAGCCACATAAAAAAATATAAAAAATAAATTTAATTTATTTTATTTAAATTTTCAATTATTTTTTAATTTTTCAGATCAATCTGGTAAGATTCGCATTTGGGACACCGTCAAAAAGGAACAAATTTTGAAAAATGAATTCCAAACCATTGGGGGTTTCATCAAGGATATTGCCTGGTCGGCCGACAATTAGCGCATTGTGGTTGTCGGTGAGGGCCGTGAACGTTTTGGCCATGAATTTATGACTGAAACGGGTACATCGGTGGGTGAAATTAGTGGCCAATCCAAACCCATTAATTCATGTGATTTCCGTCCTGCCAGGCCATTCCGTATTGTCACAGGTATAACCATAGATTTTCATTAAAATCGGAATTGAGAGTAACTTCCCCAATTAATTTTGCAGGCAGTGAAGACAACACCATTGGTGTCTTTGAGGGTCCACCCTTCAAGTTCAAGATGACCAAGCAAGAACAACACGTAGCCATTGCATGTCATTAAGGATCACAATAAACCCATTACTGTGTTGGGTTTGAGTGATGATCGCAGCACCATCTACACCGGCAGTCATGATGGTGTGGTAACCACCTGGATTTCGGGCAGTGGTATCAAAGATCGTGTAACTGGGGCTGGTCATGGTAATCAGTTGGGTCATATCTCAATTTAATGTCTTTGAAGAAACCCACTAAATTTCCCTTATCTTTGTTAACAGATGAATAGTATTGCTGCCTGGGATGATTTTGTTTACACCTGTGGCATTGGTGACAGTCTGCGTCAATCGAATCGAATGCATTCACCGATTATCACCTTGGTCCAGGATCAAAAGAAGGCCTTCTCCTTGGCAAAAAAAGCAGAACAATAACAAGCCCAAACCATGAATGCAATTATCGTTCTGTTAAGTTTCATTACTTCTTTATAAATATGCATTTTTTTACTTTACTTTACTCCCCTATTTGTTGGTTCTCCTTATTTCTTTCGCTTGCATTAAGTTAAAAAAAGTTATTTCAAATTGTGTTTCTAATTATTTATTTATGCAATTTAAAACCCAAATCAATTATGTTTTCCCCCTCTTTTTTCCATCGTTTGTATCACATGAATGTTTTATAAGAGAAATACAAAGCAAATTCCTTTTCATATGAAAATGTTCTAAAAAATGGATTGTTTATCATCGTCATATATTTAGGGGTTGAAATGGACTAAATACTGGAAAATATCTTATTTTGCGGTGGTTGTACAAGTCGCAATTATAGACCAATCGACATGAAATTGTGTTAAAAAAAACAATGTGTTTATAAAACCGCGAATATTTTTAATCCCGGCGAAAGTCAATTCTGACCATTGCGTAGATGCCGATTGTAAAGATATCGGATATATATAGCGAAATATGTAGAATCAATAAATAAAATGGAAATGGATGTTAGTTTGAGCGCTTATATGTCAAGAATGGCTGGACTGATTTTGACAAATCTTGTCAATTCAGAATGCGCTTTTGGCATACAGTGTAGGTCATATAGTGTAGGGATATTATTTTGAATTTTTTATCACTATTAATGCGAAGTGATAAACTAAATAAACAATGGAACTAAATTTGGTATATAGAGTAGGAATAAAATTGTTAGTTTCGGTGTTAAATCGGTGTGAAAAGTTCAAAATGTACTCATATTCTACAAATGAAGAAAAACACAATGCTGCATTTTTCAAGCTTAAAAAATCTTACATAAATTCATTTGATATTTGTAGTATTACAAGAATATAATATGGTCATTAATGTTAAAAATTATTTTTTATTGAATAATTTAACATTATTTGAAAGGCAGTAATTTGATTTACGGGTTATATACAATCATCAATATCTCGGCATAACTATAATATTATTTTGAAGAACAGACGAAATAAAAAAGTACATTTATATGTTAGTATGCTTGAAAATGAAATAATTAAGCAATTCGTGCTTTTTAATATTAAACAAATAATAACAAAATAATATTCATTGAGAATATGACAGAATAAAACTTAAACAATTCGTGATAAACATATTAAAAAACTAATAACATAATAATATTCATTGAGAAAATGAAAAATAGTATAAATTAAACAATTTTTGCTTTTTTAAAGTATTTTAAACAAATAATAACAAAATAATATTAATTGAGAAAATGACAGAATAAAACTTAAACAATTCGTGATAAACATATTAAAAAACTAATAACATAATAATATTCATTGAGAAAATGAAAAATAGTATAAATTAAACAATTTTTGCTTTTTTAAAGTATTTTAAACAAATAATAAAATAATGATATTAATTGAGAAAATGACAGAATAAAACTTAAACTTAAACGTGCTATTTAAAGATATAAAACAAATAATAAAATAATATTCATTTAAAAATGACAAATACTATAAATTAAACAATTCGTGCTATTTAAACATATAAAACAAATTATAACAAAATAATATTCATTGAGTAATTGAATAAGTGGGTAGTCGAACTCGAAAGGAAAAGAAAATAAAAGCAGAAAAGAGGTTCTATATTAACAGAGAAGACAATATCCGAGATACATCAGAAATAAGTCATAGCTGTAGGGCACGTAGCACAAACTGTTGTACACTACGTATACTTAAAGAATAAAAAAAGTAGCGAATTAAAAAAAGTTTATTAAAAAAGAACGTTGTTAATAAAAAAAATTGTTAATAAAAAAAAATTGTTAATAAACAAATTGTTGCTGTTTATTTAAAAAAAAAAAATAATAAAAATAACTGTTTAAATGAAAAGAAAAAAGTGAAATTATGTTATTTGTATTGAAATTTAAATTCATAAGAGCCTTCTTATTTGAAATTTAAACGCAGCATACTTTTAAAGTATATCCAGACTTGATCCGTTTTAAAGTTATAATGTTTTAAATTCAAACCATATATTAAAAAAAAAAAAAAAATAGGCTTATTAATTTAATTTCCTATACATATAACATTTATGTGTGTATAGAGTATTAATAATGCAAAACGATTCTGTGTTGGTAAGCTATAAACCTAATTGGCATGAAAAAAGTTACGACGCTAAAAAAAATACCGGATCTATAAATTTACAGTTCGAATGTTTAATTTCTTCAACTTTTTCTTATTCTTTTTTGCTTTTAATAATATTTCACTCAACCACTTAGAATTTTTATAAATTAAAGTGTTTAGGGTAAAGTCCAAACATTCTAACCTATGTTTGAAACAAACATCATTTGCATCAAACCAATTGAACTTTTCATTTGTTTTTTCTATTATGTAGTCCGATATTTTTTTCTTTATATTTTGTCTTGATGCAAATTTGTTGAAAGCTACTTTGTAACATTTCATCTGAAAACTGAAAATTTCGAAAAAGTTGTCTGATGGATTAATTAAATTTAAGGAATTAACACCGAAATTTTTATTTTTTATTAGCAATTCCGATTCCGAAGACAATTTGTCGTCCTTTTTCATTTGGTCCACACAACGACAGCATTTTGTCTTTTGGACTGCACTCTTGTAGATTGTGTACCCTGAAACATACCTTTTAACTTGTGTTTCACATAAGTTTATGTCCTCAAGGAACTCTGAATCATCTTCGGAGTCGGAATTAGAGTGTTCCAATTTTAAATATTCAATAATATGAATGTTACCGGTATTTTTCAGTGATATTGGAAGTGAAATACTACCATCTTCTTCAGAATTGGTATTTTTAGTTGCTTTTAAAATATCGGAAGAGATTATTTTGGCGCTTATGTACCTCACTTCCTTTACTGATGGGTGTGTATTATTGCCTAGCGAAGACCGTATCCGGGAAAAGAAATTTTCCAAAGCATCCTGGTTTAATTTACCAGACAATATAAATTGGATGTTTGGGTAATCCCTAAATATGTCTTCGGAGAGCAATAATATACACTGTATTGTTTGCCAAAACCCATCAATACATTGTACAGTTGCTTTGCTGTTAACAACAAAGCTTCCAAAATAATCTCTGGCCTCTTCGAGCCGGGCAATTTTGTGTTTGCAGTTTCGATATATCGCTTTATTGTTGGGGTTTGCGGACGATGTCGTTTTAACATTTAATTCGTCGAATATATCGTTTAGCCTTTTTATAAATTCAGCTGTCGGATATGCATCGTCTGAAATACAACCGTTTTGCATACAGGTATGCATTGCGGCAGCTACAGAATTGCTTAAAACTTCAGTAGCTCTACTGACACTCATTTTATCCCACAGTGCTGGATTTATGTGTTTTTCCGTCAATTTGGGACACATCTTGATGTTAGGGTTCTCATTATCAATTTCATATATTCTACGAACATATTCGAAATTGATAACTTCGCCGCTAATCGTTTTGTAGCCATGTGTAATCAAATTATTTCTGATTGATTTTATCAAATTGCAATAGTCGTACATACAATAAATTTTGTGTCCATTAAAAAAAAAATATGGTTCGTATTTCGACGTCGTTAAGAAACTGTAAAGACCGATGTTTGTAGCCCCTTGGTCACAAACAATGGAACGCACGTCTAAGCCAATGTCCTGGATAACCTGCAGGTTCTCACACAGGACATTGTGCATTACGGCTTTTGTCGTATTTTTAGAAACAGGATAAAAGCTTATAATAAATTTCCAGTCGGAACATATGCCCTTGATCATAAAAAAAAGACATCTCCTAGCCATCTCTTTGGACCTTCTGTTCTTGCCAAAATCTTCAAACCCGTCCACAACGTCTTCTGCCTTGTTGTATTCTAGGACGGGCTTAATTTCCACCTCATCGTGAACGACGAAACAAATGCGTTCTCTTTCCGACATGTTTTGCACTTGTGCTTTCAAGCTGTTAACAACTGCAATATCTATACCAGGATTTAGAGAACGTATATGTTGCCATCGTCCTAGAGACCTAGGGCTGGGCAAATTAAATTTTATATTTTCCCTCATAAATTTGTAGCACCTCGCACCTCTAAAATATATATTTTGAGCAATATCTCTTTCTTTTTTAGTGTAAACTTTTCGTTCGTCCGTACCCATGCGAGCTAAAGTTAGTGCCTCTTCTGATGTATTCACGGAGGGAACAATGCACTTCCTTGTGAAATTGTCCAACTCAGTTTTGAGTTTTGCAACTTCACAAGTTAGCGCATTTCGTTCTTTTGTCAGTGCCTCGATTTTTTGCTTTAGTTCGTCATTTTCTGCTCTTAGTTCCTTTTCGTTTTGAATCAATTTTAAATTTTCTTTTTTCAGAATTTCCATTGGCCTATTTTGCATGGGTTCATCCGATTCAATTTCCCTATAAAATAAAAGGTTTGTGTAACTTTTTCCTTTAATAAAAGACGCTATTATTATATCCTTCACCATGGGTAGGAGGGTATATTAACTTTGTCATTCCGTTTGTAACACCTCTAAATATTCGTAGTTGACCCCATAAAATATATATATTCATAATCAGCATAACATTCTAAGACGATTTAGCGATGTCCGTCTGTCTGTCTGAGCTCACGATAGAGCCCACATTATTTGACGCAGAGCTTTGAAATTTGGCACAAGTGTGTGTATTGTTCCTAGGATGGTGGAACATGTTTGAATCCAGATACTTTTGTATAAAAATGGTTCCTTAGGTAGTGTTGGAGGGTATATTAAGTTCGGCCCGGTCGAACTTAATGTTTTTGTACTTGCAAGCCACACAACTGGTAGTAGTACCCATTATAAAGTCAAAAATAGGAAATTTGAAACTATTCCGGGTAAATTAATGTCTCTAAAATCATCAAAATACCGAATATTGTGAGGAACCGTTATAGGGGAGCTATACAAAGACGTGGACCGATACAGCCCATTTACGAATTTAACCTAAATCGAATTAGAATTTAACGCTGATATATACTTTGTAGGGTCTAAAATTAGTATTTCGAGGAATTGAAATCACACTTGAACGCAAGAAGTCTTTCTGCGAACAACTTTAACACCACAATATATATATATAAATACGCAAAATAATATATACAATTCCTTACATTATTTGCCAATATATATTTTCTGTTTTCTCCTCCTCAGGTTTTGGGATATTCGGCAATTCCATGTGTCTCCTTTCTTCAAAAAAATTCTCCTCGGGATTTGGTGAATGCGGAAATTCAGCTTCCTTTTTTTCTTCCAAAACACCAAATGGATACAGAGGAACTGTCAATTGAAGGAAATGGTAATATTTGTGTTATATTAAATTGTACAATTTCCTTACACCGGGTATATTCGACATAAGTTTGCCGACAAATATACAACAAACACAAGTAAGCAAAGGCTATAGTCGTGCGGGGCCGACTATGTGATACCCTACAACACTGCAAGATGGTAGAAGTACCCTTATGTCCAAATATATTTTGGAAGATTTCGCTTTTTAAATTATGTCATAAAGCACTGCCCAGATATTACCCTTAGCTTTTTCACTAGACACATTTGCCAAGTGTTTACGAACTCCGTCGTGCTGTTAGTTACAGCTAAATATAATCCAAATGCTAGACGTCTTCCCTGTCCTTAACACTTTTCTCATGCCAAATTCCGTGCCGATTGATTTCAATTGTGTGATCAGGAAAATGTGTCTGTTTTTGGTTCATTTTAACCCATAAATATTTTGAGTATCGGGCCATAATTGCGGCCTGTTGCGTGATTACAAATTAACATGTACGGACGGACATACGTAGCTAGATCGACTCAGCTCGGCGAGATAGGAAGATCCATACATACTTCCCTATGCGGGGAACCAATATTTCGAGGTGTTACATAATTTTTGGCCCAATCAAACTTATAATACCCCCGACACAGTGTTGTTGTTGTTATTCTTATACTTACTTGGCTTGGTGTATTTTTTAAATTTTTTGGCACCTATGCACGAACTTTCAAAATGTCTTTGGCAAAGGCGTGGCCATGGTCCAATTTTTTCGGATTTCAGCCCCAAAATTCGACACCATTCCTCTTTTTCCGTGGAATCTGTCGGAAATCCAAAGGTTTTCACAATTTTTTCACACGCGAATATGCACCGCTTAGACATTTTTTAAATATTTTAATTTCACACAAATTATATTGAAACTATTTTCACAAATGAATCATTAAAAAATGCACAATAATTTTTTCACAAAAATTTATGTACACATGACAAAGAAAGTATATGCCTACTTTATCATAAACAAATCCAGTAAGGAAAGGTCAAAATTCGGGCGGGCCGACTATATGATACCCTACACCACTAACCATAGTTAGCAGAGCTTTGTAAAAAATGTTTATATTGTTCATTTCTGAGATTTATAAGATACCTGATAACAAATATCATTATCTCTGTCATATGGGTCCTAGCCAAGTGTGAAGTAATGGGAAGCCACATAAAAAAATATAAAAAATAAATTTAATTTATTTTATTTAAATTTTCAATTATTTTTTAATTTTTCAGATCAATCTGGTAAGATTCGCATTTGGGACACCGTCAAAAAGGAACAAATTTTGAAAAATGAATTCCAAACCATTGGGGGTTTCATCAAGGATATTGCCTGGTCGGCCGACAATTAGCGCATTGTGGTTGTCGGTGAGGGCCGTGAACGTTTTGGCTATGAATTTATGACTGAAACGGGTACATCGGTGGGTGAAATTAGTGGCCAATCCAAACCCATTAATTCATGTGATTTCCGTCCTGCCAGGCCATTCCGTATTGTCACAGGTATAACCATAGATTTTCATTAAAATCGGAATTGAGAGTAACTTCCCCAATTAATTTTGCAGGCAGTGAAGACAACACCATTGGTGTCTTTGAGGGTCCACCCTTCAAGTTCAAGATGACCAAGCAAGAACAACACGTAGCCATTGCATGTCATTAAGGATCACAATAAACCCATTACTGTGTTGGGTTTGAGTGATGATCGCAGCACCATCTACACCGGCAGTCATGATGGTGTGGTAACCACCTGGATTTCGGGCAGTGGTATCAAAGATCGTGTAACTGGGGCTGGTCATGGTAATCAGTTGGGTCATATCTCAATTTAATGTCTTTGAAGAAACCCACTAAATTTCCCTTATCTTTGTTAACAGATGAATAGTATTGCTGCCTGGGATGATTTTGTTTACACCTGTGGCATTGGTGACAGTCTGCGTCAATCGAATCGAATGCATTCACCGATTATCACCTTGGTCCAGGATCAAAAGAAGGCCTTCTCCTTGGCAAAAAAAAGCAGAACAATAACAAGCCCAAACCATGAATGCAATTATCGTTCTGTTAAGTTTCATTACTTCTTTATAAATATGCATTTTTTTACTTTACTTTACTCCCCTATTTGTTGGTTCTCCTTATTTCTTTCGCTTGCATTAAGTTAAAAAAAGTTATTTCAAATTGTGTTTCTAATTATTTATTTATGCAATTTAAAACCCAAATCAATTATGTTTTCCCCCTCTTTTTTCCATCGTTTGTATCACATGAATGTTTTATAAGAGAAATACAAAGCAAATTCCTTTTCATATGAAAATGTTCTAAAAAATGGATTGTTTATCGTCTCGTTCTTGAAAAAATATTCTGAATTGTGGGAATTTAGCTAATTTGTTAGCTGTTAGGTCGCGTGAGCAACAGCTTCTTCGTTATTACAATTTTATTTCTTTAGTGTTCATCCTGTTCCAAAATATATATCCTAAGAATTGGATTGGATGATATGAAAAATGGCAGATATCGTGCGCACCAGCTGGACAGACTGACGGATGGACACCCCTAATTCTAAAACCGTTATTTTATTTCATTTCATTTATTTCATACAATTCAATATAAATAAGTCAACACGGTCAAAATCTTAAATTAATATACAACAGTAAAAAACAGCCTATAACTATATAAATCTAAAAAATCTAAATACATAAAAAATGTATAAAATTTTATACAATATATTTATATAAAAAAATAATTTAAATAACAATAATTAGACCCTCAGACACAACTCCTCCACCAAGAGAGAGAGAGAAAAGGCAAGAGGCATCAATACATTCAGGATTCACATTTATTGTGATTGGTTAATTATAAGGATTGAACCGTTTACAGATTTCGTATGAAAGATTCTTTAATGCAATTCACGTAAACCGCCATTGTGATTGAAATACAAATATTGTGATTGAAATACAACTACACTGAACAGTCGTGTAATTCACAACAAAAAATATAATTGTGATTGCAAATCCCTCATTCTGCCACGCTGCTGTCAAAATAATTGTTTACCTTTTTGTACAAGCATTTTGTATGAAGCATTTTCACAAATACAAGGAAACTCTTTTCTTCAAAAGATTTTTTACATTGCTGTTAAGTTTTTTGCTGAGAGAGCTTTGAAAAATGCACTTTTTCCAGTCAAATTTGTAGCCCTCTATAACCATAATTTCACACTATTATTGGAAAATGCTTCTTGTCTAGTCTTTACGTATAATAATAATAATAATAATAATAATAATAATAATAATTGTCTTTGAACAAACGAGTTTTAGGTTGACTTAGTTCGATTTCGGCCCTAGGCTCCTTTGTTCTTTTCCGAATAAGTCATCCGATGACTTAAGCCAGTCGGAAAAGCGTTTTATGTATTCTCACCTTTAAACCAGTCAATGAAGCGTTTTATGTATTCTCACCTTAAAGCTAAAAAAACTACGAAAAATGTATGAAAAGTCAAACTTTCTTTTTAAAATATACTCTGTTTCAGAACCTGCAATAATCTACTATTTTGCAACTTTCTCGATATCAAAAAGGATAATCGGTTATCGTAGTAAAAACTTTTACTTTCTTGCAGTTCTGGAATAGACCAAATTTTATTATTTTGTGCACACTTTTTATATATGCTCTGTTCCAGAACCTACTAGTTTTGCATTTTTATCATATACAAAACATTAATTGTAGTAGAAATTTTTACATTCTTGCAGTTCTGAAACAGAGTCAACTTAAATATGTTGTGAGCAAGCATTGTACAATAATTAACGTGTTTTAAATGAATTTTTATAAAAGGTTTAAATTTATCTTTGGAGATTCATCTATTGACAGCATATAATAGTTCCATATGTTTACAAAAGATAGATTGACTTAAATTATTGTTATTTAGTTATAAAACTAACGATCACAGTATTAAAAAAAGCTTTATATAAAAATAAATTCAAATATTGCAATACTTAGAGTATGGGAAAATAAAAAGGCGACCAAAAAGTAATAATCCCAAATCGAAAAATCGATTACGGTAGGTCGATTTTCAGCACAGATACAAGTTAACATCGATTTTAAAGTTTTTCAACGCAAAAAGTCGATTAATTGTTAGTCGGCTTACTTATCCCTACACTCAGTCAGTCGTTCAGTTTGTTTGTTCGTTGTTATACGCTTCTTACGGTCGAGTTACGGAGAAACGGTGTGTCTTCTCTCCACTAAAAATAATAAAATCAACAAAATTGAGCCTGAAGCCAATGTGGATTACTTGCAACAATAGCAACAACAAAAGAGGGTGTTAAAAAGCAAATTTTAATTAAAAAGAAAATTTAAAAAAAAAATATCTATATCCATAAAACAAAAATTACCAACAACTAAAAAAAATTTAAACAAAAAACTCCAAAAGGAATTTTACAATAATTTTTTAGTTTCGAAATTTTTTATAAAATAAAAAAAAGAAGAAAAGAGTTCAAAGAAAACCAGACGTAATCATTTAATCAATCTCTCTCAATTGGTAAGTGCTCTCATGTGCGCGCTCTCTCTCTTTGCCATCACAGTTGGTTAAATTACTGCTGCTGCTCTTGGTAAAGTGTGTGTGTATTCGACAACGTCGTCGTGTGTTTTCTTATGAAAGTGTGTAGTAGTCGCGTTGATTTTGTGCGGTTTCTTATTGTTATTTTCCGATTGAGCCTGTCTCCCGTTAACTTCAAAATACACCACCATCATCATCATCATTGACAACAAAAACAACTCTGCCGCTGCTTAAACTTCTCACCACCATAATAACACAAGTGACGGTGTTTATCTCGTTTCTTTTTTGTACAACAAATAGCAACAACAATAAAATTGTGTTTGCTTGTGTATTGAGAGAAGAAAAAAAAAGAAACAACAAAAATACACAAAATTATACAGCAACATATTGTAAGGTGTGGGGAAATCGATTGATTACGTACCATATTATAATCTCTTCCACCACCTAACTTGCTTAAATGTTGCATTAAAAGAAAATCAACATAAAAATTGAGAAACCAAGAAATTAATACGATTTCTTTTGTCAATTCCCAGCAAAAACCCAAAAATAACTAAAGAAAATATATAACATAAATGAGTTGCAATAACGAAAAAGTGAGATAACAAAGTAAAAAGCAGCATTCAATAAAAAAGCAGCAATTGGTGAAAATAATTTATAATTAACTGTGAACAATTTTTGTTAGAAAGAAGATATAACAAAAAAATATGGAAAAATCAACAGACTCTAGTAGTGGTTCGACGTCTTTAACACCATCTTCGTCGTCGACGACGACGACGCCGTCATCTTCAACAACAGCGTCAACATCGTCGTCTTCGTTATCAAGTGCTAACAATCCAGGAGAAGGTAGCCTATCATCTGCTAACAGCCAGCATATGCTGAATTCTTCCAATAAAGCTGTTTATGATGTTGGTAGCCAAGCAACAACGCATTCTGACAGCAATGGCAACCCACAACAACAGCAGCATCAGAAAATGCCACAAACGCCATCTAGCCAACAGCCCACAACTACACCAACAACAACGATGTACATGCAAAAGCATCATCAAAACAATAGTTGTTCCTCAACAAAAAATCAACTTAATTTACTTGGGTGTGGTCCATCGGTGTCGGCGGCGGCAACATCATCAGCAAATAGTGGCAGTTTAAAGGCCTCCAATGGCAATAGTAACCATAACAACAACAATTCATGTTCTGCACCACTACCAACTCCATCCTCCTCAAACGTATCCCTTAACAACACCAACAATGGCACCTTGGGTCATCAATCTTGTAACTCTGCTGCCGTTATCTCCTCCTCGCCCAGCAACTCGGCAATATCTATTGCCTCTTCTAATAGTAATGCTGCCATTGCCTCTGCTTTGGGCTTTACTTCAACATCAACAACCATGGTAACATTGCCGACATCATTGTCATCAATGTCAGCGTCGTCGTCATCATCATCATCATCATCATCAACAACAACAGCAGCAGTAGCATCCTCCTCAACAACTTTGTCGTCTACACAAATGGCGCCTATTAATCTTAATATAAGCACAACAACCGGAGGCAATTTTAGTGTTTCGGTTGATCCTCAGATAAGTGTGGAAAATCTGAAGAAGATTATAGCCAAGAAGCTTAAAGTTGCCAAGGATCGTATATGTTTGCTGCATAGAGAAAAGTAAGTAAAATATGAAATTCGAATAAGCCAACAAAGTTTTTTTATTTGTTCTCTTTTGGTACAATCCCAACTGTTGGGTACAGAGAAATTAAGGAGACTCCGGAGGAGTTTGTGTGGGTATTTAAAATCGGATTTGTTTGGTAGTTTACTAATTTTTACTTTTCTTATTTAGAAAATGAAATACCACCAACCCAATCAAAATCGATGGGGGGAATTGTTTTATGAGGTTGGTGCTGCCGAGAAGCAGAGCAAGTTATAAGTTTTTATGCAACAAAGGACACATAAATGAATGCAAAAATTAGATATAGTTTTATCGGTCCCACGATGTGTCAAATCTGAGAACAGGAATTACTTTGTTTGATGAAGGATTCTTAGCATATAGGTATTTAGATGTAATTTTTCTTAACAACTAGAAATGCTCAAATAAGTATTCTTTTAAAAGGTTTGTTTTTAGGTCTTCAAAAACCTGACTGCCTCATAAATATTTAAAAAAATATGAGAAACATAAGGAACTTAGGAATGCCATATCTCAGGAAGTATAGACTCCCCCATGAAAATATTCTACTATTTTAAACAGGGGATCTCAAAATTGACGTGAGCAGGGTAAAGGCGTGTGGTGATAAGATATTATATTCTCAGAAGCATTTGTTATCAGAGGGAAAACTTTGTGCAAAATCAAATGGTTCTGCATATTCAAAGCCTGAGACTTGTTCTATAAAATATCAAGCTTAAGACTTTATTCAGAATAAAGTAAAGTATGTGGTTATTTGTTCAGTGGAATTATTCTGAAAATAACCACAAAATCGTATTTCTCAAAAATGCAAGCCTTCAGGCGAATACCCATTTTGATGTAAATATAGTGAGATTGTAGGAAAGTAATATAAAACGTGTTTAGCAATTTTTTTTATTTTCGTTTTATAGGAACATTTTTTTCTTGTATTGTTGAGCTTTGTATTTTGTCACTGAACTTCGTCCAACCACATGGTTTTTCTGTTTTATTTATGTTTGGGTTTTTATACATACCAGTACGACGTACGCGCATACCTTATCACATATTTTTTTCTGAACTGCTCGAAAGCCAAGGCAAGGGAGACGGGGTAGGGAAGTAGGAAAATCACCACAATTTGTATGGATGGTGGCAGTCTTATTGTTTTCTTTGTGGAAGAATAAGCAATTATGGCACCTCCCTGGTTTATTGATAAAACTAAAGCAATTAAATTTAGCAAAATATAAAAAAGACAAATTTTAAACAGTACCCCATAATTTTCTGTAAAATATGGTGAATGGAGTTATGCAAGTAATTTGCATTATCCTTAACGCCATTTTTTTCTTTTTTTTTAACGCCGCTGAATGTCCTGTTCAGATTGACTTTCTTATCTTGACATTGTGCCACCACCACCGCCGTCGCCGCCATTGTTTCACCACCATCACCAATGCCATAACATCTCTACCCTTAGAGTAGACCCACAACACTTTGCACGGCCAACAAGAAAACATATGATGTGTGATGGACGGACAGACAGACAGTCAGTGGTGTTAAATTTACAAAACAGGTTTCTTTTTTTGTTCAGCATTTCTTTTTTCAGACTCTTCTCAGGACAAAAAGGTGTGAGTGTATTTGCCATGCATGCATGGTATAAGGATGTTGATGACGTTGACGTTATTGGGGCGTTTCATAAAATCTTTGCCATCCACATCTTTTGGGTAAGAGTCACCAGTATGCGTATGATAGGGCTCATACTTCGATTATACACTTTGTGACTGCTATTAGGGGTGCGATTTTATAGATTTAATTTTTTCTCTTCGTTTTAACATCACACAAAGATAATTATCATCTGTGGCGTATGGTCGTCAACTGACTTCCTTTTACTTATTCTTCTACTTGTTCTCTTTACACTTTTGGAAAAAGGATTAAGGGTTCAATAGCAAATATTTGACATTGCGGCAACAAAAGTAATTGCAACACTGGTTTTTTTCGGTGGAGTGCTACCCTTGTATGGATTATAAAAAAATCTCATTCAAAGGTTGTTTTACAAGGGTGGAAGTACCGAAATATTAAAGTTCTTTAGTAGATATTTTTCTTTGGAAGACCATCAGAAAACTTATTCTATATAAGACAATCAAAAAATTATAGTAGGTCCTCAAGCGTATAAAACCTATAAATACAAACCTATATATTCAAACCTTCCGGTTAAATAATAAATTTTCGACTGTTTCAGTTTCCTCCTCATCTTGAAAAATCCTGCAGTAACTGGTGTCGTCACGACCCCACTTAGAAGCCATGGCCCTTATGCCAGAGTGACCTGTGATGATTCCCATCACAAGGTTTGCAGGATTTTGCCATGGAGATAAGAGACCTGGTTCTTTTCCCGGGGAGTTTCGGCCAATTTATCTTCGAGACATTGTATCCCCTTTTGTTTAGCCAGTTTTATTGAAATATACCGAAATAATGTTTATATATCACTCGAAAGAAGTGGCACAAAGCTGGCTTCACCGATATGACTCGGAACCAAGTCTTGTAAATTCATCTGCTGATCCTCTACCAGAAATGTTGCAATAGTCTTGAATCGAACAAAGCTTGATTGAGGACTTATCTTCTTCCAATGCATTCTAACATCCCGAAACTGCTCTGTACATGAATTTAGTTAGCCGGATCGTTATGTTCACTGTTTCCATTTGGCCACAGATCTGTGGCTCTTTTTGAAATAAAATCGCAGTTGTTGTTTAGTTTGATGGAGTATCTAATGTTCAGCCGTTCGTAGAAGACCTCTGCACACGTTCCACTTTCCATCTTTGAACCATCGGTATAGACAGCTATGTAGTTTAGGGTTTTTACAGGTCCAAGTGTGTCTCTCTGGTGGATGCCTAGTGGCTTAAGGTTCAACCGTGATGATATATAATCACTGGTTTTGGTCTCGCCTTCTATGTGTTCCATATGTCGTAAAATCGAAAAATGTCCAAAGGACTGGCTGCTGGGCCATTGTTCAAGTTCTCTAAGTTTCAGTGCGCATCTGACTGGCTACTCCTCTACAAATAGACTTAAGGCTTTTAAGTGAAGGGTATCTAGTGCATCGTAGGATGTACTCCAAAATGCAGCTGTGATCAATAATGATGTGATTCTTTGAACCTTATCAATGTTTCGCTGGTAGGATGATTTCCTTAGATTGCCACCAAACTACAGCTCCATTGTTGAGAATCGGACTTATATAAATTTGATTATATGCGATTTTAGCCCTCCGTCCTATAAAATTCTTGCAAGAATAAAGTGCGCTTAAACACCTCTTCGCCCGTTTCTCAATATTCCTCTTCCAATTCAGCTGATGATCGAGAAAAGTACAGAGAAACATGGCTTCTGGAGATAGCCTTAGCGTGACTCCATCTAGCATAGGTGGTGGTGAAAACTCTAGGTGTTTTCGTTTCATTGTGAAGAGGGCGAGCTCTGTTTTAAATGGAAAGGAAAGCTGTTTGCATTAGATCTGAAATTTCAGGATTTTTTCTGCAATCATCAGAACTACGTAGTTAACATACGCCACGACTTTTGTTCCAGATCCTTGAGTATACCATGTCTTAATAAGCCATAATAATGGTAATAAAACACTGCCCTGTGGGGGCTCCCTGATGACCAATACCCTGACGGAGCTTTCCCAGATGTGTGAGTTAATGATTCTGATACTGAGCAAAACATCGATTCACTCTATGAGGAGCAAGGGGATATCAAGTTTTAAGAGAAAGTTTTGAACGATCATACGTTTGCTAAGGGTTCCAAATTTTTCCGCCTATCTGGAAAAGATGTTAACTTATAGAAAAAATAAAGTAAAGTCAGTGTTGTTCAAACTCATACCTACCTTTTTGATGTGTACAATGGGTTTCTACGGGGTTCTTTCAATTTTTTTGATAAACCGACAAACAATTTTTAAGCGGGGCACAAAACTCTCCAATTACTTATGGCTTCTGAAATGCTTCAACTCACTGTACATATTTTTTCGAAACGAAAAAAAGTTAATAAAATATGCTACGCAATTCAATTTCTTTAAAGATTCTAAACAAATAATCAAATTAAATTAGATAGTTACCTAGTTAATTGAATGACATAACTGCTGTTGGCTGGCGCAGTTGGTCCGGCAGGGAAACTACACATACAATTCATCAATGTGGTGTACTACCCACCAACACACCACATCAATGCAAAAATTAGTTTTTTGTTTTGCTTTCAAACATTCTTTTGTGTTTCTGTCTAAAGCGCCATTGTTATTAAACAACAAAAATAGAAAATTTATAAAGAATTTTGTTTTTCACTTTGCAAAAACAATGTGCGGTGAACAAAGTCAAATATAGTCAAACACACACACATATATACACGGGCGCGCTCACAACGAATAATGCAACGTCGTCAAGTTGTTGTGGTGGTGGGGAAATACACAAAACAAAGAACCGGCAAAAACGCCAAGCCCCAAATACACATTGAACAACATGGCGCTGTTGTTGTTTGTTATGCATCAAATTGAAAAGAGAATAGACATTTCTGCTTTTGTTTTTTTTTTTTTTTTTTCGTGTGTTGAGCCCTTTTTTGCACTAGAGACAAGATTTCCCCCGTCTGATAATTACATATGGAGAGAGAGAAACTGTTTGAGCTCTCTCTGGCTCTCTTAAAAGCACTCAACTAATGTTTTTGTTTAATTTTATTTTTTCATTTTGACACGCTACTTTATCTTGAATAATTTTGTTTAGCAAAATGATTATTGCGTGATTTTTCTTTAAGTTTTTTTTTGCGTTTGTTTTCTTTTTGTGTTCTTCAAATTGGCGATCATATTTTTTGTACTGTACTTTTGAAAACATGTTTATTTTTTCAAAGCTACTGGCCAACGGCAATACACACACACAAGTTGTGGGTTGCCATTGAGGTGAGAATATTCAGTACAACAACGTCAACTTTGAAAACAACTGATGATCTGGTCTTACCAGATCAATATTATTTTGAAAGGTCACTTAATTTTGCGGTG